GGAGTCACGGCAACAGTTTGCTGAGGGGGAGAAAGGGAAAGTAGAAGCCAAAATGCAGAAATAAAGGTGTAGGAAAGAGGTTGGCTGTGGGCTCCACTGAAGTCTGAGGTATGACAAACCAGTACATATCTGGAACAATTCTACTGAAATCCAGTACAAATCGGGAACGATGCTACTGAAATCCATGAGTTTTAACTGGCATAACTGACATCAAAAGCTGACCTGTCAGGACGGTCTTTTCTGTATTCACAATCCAGTTTTCACTCATTTAAAACTCACCTGTAGTATCCTCCCTCACAAAAACATGCACACACAAAACTCTTTAGAAACATAGCTGTTTTCACTATGTTCGAAAGTAATCCTAATCCCAAATAGCTATTCACAACATGGTTTTCCTTCTAGCTCCTAATTTAATGTAGTTAAAATATTTCATAGGAAAAACTTGAAGATATAGCAGTATATAGCAGTAAACAAATAAAAAAACCCCAATCAAACATCATGTCTACAAATTGCACATGGTAGAATGCATATCCCTCCCTTAGTATAGGCCCTAGTATGCAAACAGCTGGACAACACGTGCTCTGCTGAAGGAGCCACAGCTAAAGCGAAACTTGAGTTCATTGCATAATATGCTAAAAGAAAAGAAAAACCAGGAATTGATATATTATTATTAATTCCTGTTTGGCATTTAAACAGAACAGTGCTTTGATTTGCTCTCAGATGTTTCCATTCATTAGTTTCAAAGTTACAAGTTACTGAAGTGATTTTCAAAAGCTGCCCAAACAAGAAGTTCACTCCCTACTGTGACGCAAAATTGTGAGAAAATAATGAAGTATGAAGAAGTCGATGGTGCCTTATTCCCTGTCCTGCTCTCCTAGATTGGCCATTTGTTTACATGCTTCATTCCAGGGGCACTTGGTACTAAATCGCTAGAAAGAACCAAAGAGCCAAGAAGAGGCTCTGGAAATATGATTCTTCAAACTAAAGAGAGAGAAAGAACTATGTTCCATATTATGTGGAAAGCAAGGTCCAGAAATATTCTTCTGCAACAGGCTAAACTTTGAAATAGCTTTAATAAAGAATAAAAGTGACTCAAACAGAAATAAGCATCATTTGTAGACTCAAACTTAAGGGCAGAGATTGCAAGTAACTCTAGGGATACAGGAGATAATGCATTCTGGAGTTCCCCAAAATGAACAGAGGGAAAGGAACTGCAACAACCAAGTGGTTTTGCTCAGCAGAAAAAAAAAATTGTTCTGCATGATCCAGGTGCTGCTGCGGACCTTTCTGCCAGTTCCCCCTGCTGAGAGGAAACACTGCGGCAACTAGTCTGTGGGGAGCAGTCAGGACAATTTATTTTAGAAGCCAAAGAATAAAGAGGGTTTTTAAAAGGAGAGTTATAGATATCTGTCACATAGGGATACGTTTATATCCACTCCAGCTGGAAACTTCCACACTAATGAGGACACGTTTGTCTGAAGAACCCCATGGAATGTGTCTGTAGATGCCTGAGCAACACAAATGCAGTGTAAGCAGTGTTCCATAAATGTCATTAGCATGCTCAATGAACAACTAAACAGAGCTACCTGGACAAAACATTTGCCTTAACAAACCCTCCTGGAGACTCCAACTTTCCTGGAACCATAGGGATCCAGAGGAAAGAAGTGTATTTGCTAAGGTACCGCGGACCTCTCTCCAGGAAGTGGATTGCAAAATAATAATTAGCAAAAATATGTTAAAGGCATATGATGCACTCGTTAACTTCTGCCATTGACTTGGGGTACAATTGTGCACTGGTAAAGTGCTGAATCCAAACTGAAATCTGAAGTTGAACCCCGTAAACTAGGCTATTTCGTGAAACCTCAGAACATATTGAGCCAGAACCCAAAACTCTATTATACCAAAGTAAATCCTAAACGACTTTCAAGAGGGTATGAGAATCAATCCAAATTTACAACACTAATTAACAGAGATAAGAATGTAGCCTCATGGGAATATAAATACGCTAAGTATCACTTAGTATCTAATTAATACAATGAGATTCCCACATTTATATCTCTACAAAGCCACACATTTCCTTCATCAAGCCCTGTTATTTATATTGTAGAACACCTTGGACAGCATTGTCTTTAGGTGGTTTTTTTTTAAATCAAACAAACAAAAAAACCACACCCTACAAACCCACTGTGTAGCATTCCCCTTCTTAAAATCAAATGAACCAGTTAGTGAGAAATCCAACTTTGAAATTACAACACAAACAAAAAATGGAATTTAGTCTGTTGGTGGCGGCACAAGGAACGTTATGTGTTGCAATTAAAGTTATTCACCCGTCATGTGGTATGATTCCATTGCAGTATTTGGGAGAATACAAATAAACAGTACAGTCCGGCAATTCTGTAGGGTGTCTATTGGAGGCATAAAGGGTTTGCTGATCTGATGGCTTTTACTACCTCCATCAATACACTTTTGCCGACCAGCCTGTCTATACAACCATTTATCTGCAATGTATGTTAGGGTGGTGGTGAAAAGAATCCTTGTTTCACAGGAAAGGTTTGTATATACTGTTTGCGCAAGAAAACGGAGACAGCTTTTTAGGGGCCAATGACCAGGTATTTATAAAAGCCCATAAGGACACATTTACATACATGCAAATATCTCTAATTTTGTTCCAAGCTGTGGTGTCACTAGAAAGCTATTTCAGCCCTCAGACACATTCTATCAGCTATCAACAAAGAACCTTTCATACATGGAACATACACCCCACTCTTCTCCAAAATACTGAAATGTCCACAAATATATATCCTATGAAATAATATCTAAACATGCCAAGGGTATCTGAAGGTCGTAAGTAGCTGCAACAATGCTCTCTCGCTCACACGCATGCACAAAGTTTCAATAAAATGCCTCTAAAACCCTTGCCTGTTAAAATAAAGTTTTAACTAGATGAGAGGCAATATTCGGGACTAGAGCTAAACCTAGTCAGTCTCCATTAATATGCACTTTACCTAGCCTATTGGGTGGAAAGTCGTTTTTTGTTTTGCTCCCACGAGAGCTTTATAAATTCAAAATACTTTATATGTTTTTTATGGCAACAAACGGATAATCAAGGAAGAAAAACGTTTTGTATCTTGACACCTTTCAAACCATCTGCACAGATTTTATTCCAACTTTCAATGTGTGTTTCTAAAACTTCCTCCTTAAGCCCTTCCCGCCCCCGCCCCCGTTAGATGGCATATTTTAATGAGGTTCATCTATTTACTATCTGGGAATTCATCAGTACTCCTAACAACAAAGTCAGTGAAAGGAAGATACGTCCTTTCTGAACAGAGGAAGATAGACAATGTGTGTGAGTACATGTAAACACAGATGTGCCCACCGTCATATCCTCTTTCTAAATATTGTCAAATTATTAATATAAGGTATTTTATACTAGTTTTTGACAGGAGGTTAGCAACATGCAATCTTCAATACGCTCTAGACATTTAATTGGCAAGCCAGCTTTTTACGCTATTTTAATCTTCCAGTGTGCATGATCTGAGTGAGTTTTATATTCCTATGGAGTTTATACATATAATTGGGAACATGATATATCTCTTCTTTCCTCCTTTTATTAATGTTTTCCCTACTTCACTCACACACACATATACACACACATTTAACTGTTGCACACAGGTATCAAAGACCAAAAAGCACATGCAAGTAGTTCTTCTCACACAGCTTAAGCCGCTCTAGGGCAAAAGAGAGCACACACGTCTGTAGTGCAACATGTAGCTTCTGTCTTCAAGAGGGAATCATTCCACACTTACAAACGTTGACATAAAAGACACACTCATGGCATATTTCAAAACCAAAGAGCGATGGATTTACAAGGCAGGTTGATTTTATGGTGACTTTTATTGACAAGGTACGCAGGCTTTCGGCAGATGCCTCGTAGCACTGGGAAGTTAACACAGTGCCTAATTCAAGGAGACAGCCCGAGGAAGCAGCACCGACAGGGGAGAGAGCGCAACAACGTCTCTATTACTCTCCTCGGCATCATAAAGGAGCAGAAGAAAAATGGTATCCAAGGGGTAACTGGGAAGCTACGTAGAAGTTTTTTTAAAAAATAAATAAATTGCTGATTCTTCCATGGAAAATAAGTGGGAGGGGGCAAGGTCCCACAAGAACGAAGAAAAGGGGGGGGGGAGAATCTCAGCTCAACATCTAAGCTGTGCATTTGAATTTGGAGCTGACCATCATAAGCCAATACTGCCTTATCTTCCACTTCTTAGGTGGGGAGCTCATGGCACTTAATGACCAAGGGGGTGAGCTGTGGGAGAGGAATGCTGCAACAGGCATTGCTCCCCAAACAAATACTATACAGGCTGGCTTCAGCTTGGCTCCCGGCCTGCAAAAAATAATATCACTTCTGAATTTGAAGAAGGAACTGCAGGAAACATCTCTGCCCATTTAAGAGTTATTGGGGCAGGGTGATCTCCTCGCCTAGAGCATCACCAGCTCTCTTTCTTTCTCTGCTTTGATGAAAGGGCTTAAGTTAGCTTACGCTAAACACCCAATAATAATGCCTTTACACTGATCAGGGGAGCAAATAATGGTGCACTGATTACAACCGGAGACAAATATGTGAGGGAAAGGGTTGGGGCGGGAGGGAGGGAAGGGAGTTCAACAAGACAGTAGGGCAACAATCATGGAATAGGCAAGTGGTCTGGAACAAATGTTCCTCCGTAACTACAGGGAGACAACCTCCGATGCATTCACAACATAGAGATTCCCTCCCATTTCTGGAATGTTGGTCATTTTTCTGTGACTCAGCATCCCAATCTAGTATGAGAATAACAGCTTCCTTGCGTAGATTCCCTTCAATCCCCCTCCCTCTGTAACCCATCATTATATGCTTAAAGAAAAAAACAGGAGCACAAGTATTATGACACCTCCTAGCATTGCAAAACACAGCTGTTGAACATTTTTCTGCCCCAGCTAAGCAAAGTTGAGGTACTTACATCTATCATTTCGGTCCTCGGGACTGGATGAGGTCTCCCGGTCCGAAATGAGGCCAGAGACAGCGAAGATCTTTTTCCCCGTGTCATCGACTTTGAGGGAGCCGGGGGAGCCAGATGGGAGCTGGGCTCCAAACTCATACTCCTTGCCATCAGCGTCTGAGAAGCGAAGGTGGGGAGAGTCAGTGTCATGGCAGTTCTTCAGACGCTTGGCAGGTGTAAAAGCTGACTGGTAACTCTCCCTGTCCTCAGTGGAGGCAAAGGGACGGAAGGCCCCAACGCCACTGTGGTTCAGCATGCTGATTGGGGTGCAGTCCAGATTGGGGGGAGCAAACTGGGGGTGCAGATGCAGCAAGGAAGGTGGAAAATCACGGTTGGTGAATGCTCCTGGCACACCACCTTGTCGGTGATACATGGAGGCAAAAGTATAGGAGCCATTAGTGAACGGGATGTGCACATCCTTGTCCACCGATACTGGAACACCAAAGGGCCTTGGCTGCTGGCAAGGGATGGAAGCATCGCGGCTTGCTTCAGCGGTAGAAGCGAGAACCATCAGGGCTGGAGATGCCAGAGGATTGGGAAGGTAGGAGGAGTTTTCCATCTTGAAGGCTGCCCGGTGTAAGTCCATCGGAGTCTCTTTCCTTGACAGGGCCGCAAGGAAAACGGTCTTCCCTGGATGGAAAACAAAGCAACGTCTGGGTGTAGAGCTGGGGGGTCTCACTGGGGCTTCATCACTGTTCCAAAGCTGTGGAGAAAAAGAAGGGAAAAGGAGAGGAAATAGTTAATTGCCATTCAGTCCTGGACAGTTACCTATCATGAATGCAACAAGAAAATTGTATGAGCAAAGAACCAAACCTCCATGTGTTCTCTTTCAGGAAAGTTCACAAATAACTAGAAGGGTCTCTAACTCCCTCTAAGGGTGTGTCAGCACAAGTCTTTCTCCTGCTACCAGCTTTAGCACCAAACTTTGAAGTCAAGAGAAGATCCCCACTAAAAGTAGATAAAATGGGGCACTTTTCCACACACCAACACTACTCTGTGGTTCATGCAGGTAGTGCAACTTGCTCTGACCTCACCTTCTGCTGTAAGAAGGGCCAAGAAACTAGGGCATGTTCAGATTAAGGAATGAGTGGTTTGTGGGGACTGAATGCTCTGAATAAGCGCTATATGGGATGAAAACAATCTTTAATGAGCAAATGAAAGGCAAATGACCTGACTCCTTACAGACAAAAATATGGGGGGAAGTACTGGACTGTAGAAATCAGTGGTGGCAATTTTAGGTTATTATGTTTAAAGAAAGTAATTACTGTTTTTAAAATTTGGTAAGTTATTCACAATTTACAAACAAGCATTTCTGCATATATCTTCACAGCCCATTAAGAAAAAATAATGTAGAAACCGTATCTGTTTTCTGTTGCAGAGGCCCATATGAATATCTACCTGTGCAGATACACATACAAGTTATAGATTTCACTTTATATTCAATGGTGCATGTGGGCATAAACATGCCTCTCTTATACATTTCTCTGAATTGTTCCATGTGGTGTTTGTGTGCTTTTACGAAAGCAGCAGCAACTTCATCAATAAAGTGCTTGGCGTCTCTGACAATATTTAAAATCATAATGGGAGCCAGTGCCATATGATCTCTTGCAAGCATCTGCCTTTTAGGTTGAGGACAGCACAAAACGGATCAGTAATTTTACTTCCTAATGCGCTCATGCTTAAGTAGATTTGTAAACTGTCCTGGATATGCCATTAGCATTTAGAGAAAAATGTTAACAAAACGTCAAGGCTTGCTTTTCCTTGAAATTACTTACAAATTCTAAGTAACCTATTATCCCCACTCACAAAGTATCAGTACAGATATTTACATTTACATGTATGTATAAATAATAAAATTAACTTTCCCTCTAACCCTTTTTAGAGTTGAAATCAAAATCACGTTCTCTCCTCTTCAACCTAGAATCCACCCCCCCTCCACTTTTTAAGCTTCCACTGCCAACCATTCAGAATGCCACAATGCACTTGAATGTAAGAGAACTGTTACTTTAAAACAATGTGCTAGCCTTGCGGCACTCAAAAGGCCACAAAAAAATCATATAATAAAAAAGCTGTTACAAAATGTGCCTGTTAGATCTAGAAGGTCAGACATAGCAAATAAAACTTACTGAAAGAGTCTCTTTTCTAATGGAGTGGCTTTTGTATTCTGTGAATGAGCAAGGCTAGGTTAACAAACTCTGTGGAATCCTGACTGCGCCTTTCATGCTGTCCAGCAGTAACATTTCCTTTTCTCCCATTCTGTATCCAGACGCTCAGTGACTGTTATTAAGTGTGAAGATGAGAGGGCATCATCTCGCCTCTTCCTCATTTGGCTCCCTTCCTGATACAGATCAGTGCTAAATCACCAGATTATAGATCTCACATTAACAAAGTTTTGGTCGCTTCCAAATTTTAAATAACTTTCCATCAAGTACTAGCCATGGACAGAAAGATGCCACGGGGAATCTGGTCGGCCTTCTTTCGGAGTTACCTTCTGCACTGTTTTCTGCATAGCTGATTTGTCACAGAAAAGCAAGCAAACAAATTTAAAACAAAAAACTGCAATAATAGGTGAAGGTGAAGCAGGGGCTAGGAGACCTGAATGCTCATTTTCAATTATTTTTAAAGGGAGGGGAACACCCTACCCAGATAAATACATAAATACACTATTAATATCTGAATTGACCCATGGGACTGAGGGAAAACCATAGCCTTTCTAGGATTTAAATAAACGAGGGGGGTGAGAGCACACTACTAATGCCTCTGTGCCTGCTTTTCTATTTTTACTTCCACTGTCACCTCATTACGTTAAATGTATTTCATAAATTAGTAATCTGGAAGCCACACTTGACACTCCTTGTAGAATACTGTGAATCACTCCAATCGCCCTATTTGTTCGCAAACTTCATTACATAGAGAATAAATCAACATATTACGATATTGCACCAAGCCAAGTTTATTTTTTTAAAAAAAAACCTCCTGCATCCTTTTCTCCCCTATTTTCTCCTTGTCTCTTACCTTCTTTTCCACCATCTCTTTGCCCCACACGATTATCCCCTATCACCACCATCATTAGGAGCATGTACAGATGAGGCTGCGGCAAGGCCAGTCATTATGAAAATCTATAGATAATACACTCCCAATGTCAAAATGTCATTGGTTTTTAAATATGGAACCCAAAATAAGAAAACTAACTGACCTGCTTAATTAAAAAAATATGGATTGCAGGATAACCAGCCTGATGAAACATTTGGGTGACTGGAAGGGAGCGGGCACAGCCAAAGTAAGTAACTGTTACTTTTCTGCCTCTATGCTGATTTTTTTAATTTAGCACCCTGTGCAAATCCAGATTAAAATAACTCCAGCTATTGATCCAAGCAGTGGAATTGACATTAATTTTAGTTCACTTCTCACTTTGCAAAGGGATCAATAGGAAGTAATAACAGCTGACATCCTCGCTGAAAGGAAGAGAAAAGACGGTCTAGCGACAGAAATCGAAAAGCAACCAAATAAATCAGCAGATACTTTTCCATGGCATCAGACAAACTCCAAACAGATTGCAAAAAGTCTTTGTTAAATTAACTAAACAAGGAGTGGAGGAGGCCAAGGGGGTGGAGATAAATCTATGAAGCTACATAAACTGTCCACTGGGTATCCGAGTTAGATCAGCACACAAATAATAATAATATTACTAATAATTTTTAAAAATTGTTTACTTATATTTTCAAAATCACCACTTGGCTTTATGGATAAGCATGATTCCTTGCAAGAACACCCGTCATTTGCACCGATTACTTAAATGCAAAGTGAAGCGGCAAGACCAAGAGAATCCCAATTAAAAGCTTCAGCCTTTATTCATAACAAAAACAAACAAACCCACAACTTAGAACAAAATATAACATGTTATGCATAGCTTAGGTTTTGGTTGCTCTGATTATTAATTATTATAATAATGTTATTTTTAATTACCCCAGAGGAGAACTAAAATGAAGAGAGGCTAAGATAATGCAGAATTCACCATGCATCCTTCTAGCCATCATGCAAGTGGATAAACAGAGTTGGTCACAAACTGCAGGTGGAAAACTCATCTGCTAATTAATATAAATTTTATATTAATATACAGAACCCAGAAAAGCAAGGCAGAGTTTCTGTGTAACAAATTACTTTCTCATTCTTAATTAAAACATATAAACCACACATCCCGTACTACTAAAACAGGTTGCATTTTTGTGATCCTCCTGCTATTTCCCAATTCCAATAATTAAAATAACGGAATAAAAAAAAAATTCCCTGCAGTTTGCGGAGAGAAAAAAATAACTTTTTCTTTAAGAGTTCAAGCTGTTAGGAAAGAACAGAGTTGGAAACTACAGGTTTGAGCTCTTGTTACTTTGTAATCACATAATTTTAGAAGCAGGAATTTGGAGATTTATTCCTACTGAGAAAATCCTGATAATATAAAACAAAACTATCCCAGCTGTTGGGGGGAAATAAAGTGTGCAACTGGATTATCTATTCAAACTAAACTGGATTTCCTCCTAATAAATGAAAACAAGAGGACAAGAACAAGCAGATCCCAGTGTTGAATTAAGAAAATCTATAGGTCTGTATTCCTTGTCACTGAACTTCAGGATGGTTTTGGAATTGTGAGTGTCCAAACTAGATTATGAGACGGTGGCCGGGATAGGGGGCGAGGCGGAATAAGGGCACTGCCTTTTCGGCGTCCAAAATGCCAGTTCGGAAAGTATTCCCATTTTATGAAACCGATGGTGAATCGGGCCCCTTGGCGCAACAACAAAGGGGCCGCCTCGCCTCTCCCCAATTCGCTTTGCGACTCCCCCCCCGCCCCGCTTTGCAACAACAACAAAAAAAAAAATAACAAGGAAAATAAAATTCAAGTACGGGGACGGGCCAAGGTACTAAAACAGATAATAGATTTCCATCCTACCCCTGCAAAATGCATCCTTCTTTTGTTAAGCAAAGTAATAACTTGCAGAAGTCGAAGCCGCCAAAAGGCGTTTGTTAGCCATCGGTAAACAACACAAAGTAAGGAGGTTCTGATCTGCAAATTGTGGGGCCTTCATCTCATCCTCCAGCCCCGACCCAAAAAGGAGCACGAGATGAACGCACAACGCTTCCCCAGTTAAGCGGTCGGGGAGGGGGGGGAGGAAGTGTAAAATTAAACTATTCAAACTCAAGTTTTCTGGTAGAGAAATAATACTTGATCGATTTGGATCTTAAAGTTCTGTTCCAGAAATCTCCAATTTCCAGCAAAAGCAGAATTAATTTCATAGGAGGAGCATTAACCCGCCCTTCTCCCACTTTCTGCAGTTGCAAATCAAAACAGGTGTTTGTCCTTTTCCCGGTGCCTAAACTGAACACGAAAAGAATTCGGTCGGCTTACTACAACTTCAAACCATGTTTTATATACACACTGTCCTCTCCACATCGGGGATATAAAAGAAAAAAAGTGGGTAGAGATTTCAGAAAGTGCATTGGAGAGATACAGGAATCGGAAACTAATTCCCCGCTAATACGCCCGCTCGGCCACGCCTGGTCACTTTTTTCACTGAACACCCCCGCCAAATGCTCTGCATCGACAAAAGAAAAAATAATAATAATAAGAATAACTGTGCAAAATCGGTTTCGCAACTTTGCAAAGGAATCAAATTTTTCATTCCTTCCAGGAAATATGTGCGGGGCGGGTGGAGTGGGAGCAGAGATCTATCTCCCTTCACCCCAATCTCTGCAGTCTGTTCAAGACTCGTTTTCTTTTTAAAATACTAAACAAAGCTCATCAAATGTGCGGATGCCTCGTGCTGTTTGAATTTATTGCAACAATTCCTTCCCTGCACGTTTCCTGCCTGGAAGGCGAAAGCATTCAATGCAACTCCTGAACTGGACATTGCCTAATGATTTCATTGTGCCCAAGCAGATGTTTTTTATGTATTTCGATCTACAAGGTGAGGAATTATTTCCCCTTCCTTGCAACCTCTGTACTGACTTCCCTACCCCGCTGCAAGCAGCGGCTGCTGTTGTTTCATTTCAAAAGCTGGCCGTTCCCCGGCTTCGGGCTGAAAATGTGAAGAAAGTTTTGCTAAGGAAGCCCAGCTAAACATGCATATTCCAATTTCCTTCCACTTCCTCTCGCCAACCGGGTTTCCAGCCGGGTTCTCTATTTGCTCGCTTGCACCGGTGTTGACCCTACAACACAACAACGCTTTTGCTATGCTATTCATTGCAGGAGAATAATTGCAAACATACAACTAACGACCAATTTTTAAAAAATTGTTTTGCATCTCGGAGATAAAAATGCAGGCGGAGAGGGACTTTCTTTGAAGGAAGGAGAGTTGTTTGTCCGAACTTCAACCTTTCCCCCAAACTGCAAGCATTTCACGTGCGCAACCATCGCGGCAGCGAAAAGGAACTTCGGACAATAGGAGGAGGAAAAAAAGGCGGAAAGTACGCCTTAATTGCGGTTATGTAATTTCTAATACTCAAAGTTCACATGTGCGCCCGCTCCGTAGTAAAACTGAAAGCTGATGGGAGAAAGACGATCCTGACTCTATGCGGTGCTTTCTACGCACAGGGCAAATGCTGGATTTTTAAACATTTTGAGTTTTGTGCAAAAAATAATATCTACCTAGGTTGTGTCAGAGGGAGACTAGCAGGTTTGTTCCTTTCGACGAAGGTCCTCTCCACCCCCCCCCACCCCGAGTCCTGGGTATTGTTTGGGGAAACTGCGTTATTTCAGCCAAAGACCGTGGGACACGCGAAGGAAAGCCGGGAAGTATCTCCCGGGGCTTGCACAGGGATCGCTTCTCTCCCCCCCCCCGCCCCCGCCGCTCTTCTCTTTCTCCTTTTTAAAACTAAATGTTATTTGCGCTAATTGGAGCCGCGCGGTTTTCGACTGCGTTTTGCAGGCTTCTTCCCCCGGCACCTGATCCCACCCAGCCCCCTCCCCGTGTTGCCTGCTTCCCACCCCCTCCCCAGTAAAATAAACAGGAGGAGGAGGAGAGTCCCAGGAACACATCTACCCTTAAAAGGGGAGGGGGCACCATATTGATCAGATTTTTGTTGTTTTTTTTTTAAAAAAACACACTCATTAATATTCCAACCCCCCCTCCCCCGCGTGCGCGCTTTTTCAGCATCCCCACCCCTGGACCCCGATGAGCATCTTCTTCCGTGGGAATTTTGCGCCGAGGAGCTGGGCGTGCAGAAAAAAATGGAGAGGCAAACTTGGTTCAGAAAGTTTGACTTTTCGAAACATCGGCGCCCGCATTTGCGAGAGAAGTAAAGAAGAAGAAGAAAGGGGGGAAAGTACGAGGGCAGAGAACTGAATCGAAACCCCGGAGATCCCCTGTTGGAAAGTTAGCTCGACACATACGTTTAGGCACAAACACGCGCGCGCACAAACAATGCACCATGCACCCCTGGCTTCCTCGCATGCACCCCTGGGATCTCCCGCTACTCACCGTGAAAATTCCTCGAGAGGTGGCGTCCCCCTTTAATGTCAGGCTGCGGAGAGCGAGAGCCTGGGCTGTTGCTGCGCGGGGAAGAGAGCCGGACGTGCTAAGCCCGGCGCGTGTGTGCAAGCGCCTTCGGCCAGCATGGGAGTGAGCAGGAGCCTGACACGGCTGCTGGGAGCCAAGGAGAGCGCAGCGCTGCCTCTCGAAGCTGCCTCTAATCAGTGAATGAGCCTCCACTCTCCCAGGGACTCCTAGCTGCTCTCTCTCTCTTCTCACTCACACACACTCACGCTCGCTCTCGCTCTCAAACACACACACACACACACTCTCACACACACAGGCACAGAGCCGGCCTGAGAACGGAATACATTAGGGCAGGGAGGAAGCATGGGAAATGGAGTCCACAGCTGGGACGCACAGCTGCTCAGGGATGAGCCCGTCCGTCACCCCCCCCCTCCTGCCCCACACCGAGCAAGGCATGAACTTTGGCTGGGAGCTGGCGAAGGGGGTCGGGGAGGTTAGGGTCGAGCTGTTTTCGCGTTTCAAACTCAGGGTGGTTGGGGGTGAACGAGCACATCCCGTCTAGGATGGAGTTCTTTTCACCAGTAACGCTTAAATCTGCCTTTCCATTTCTGTGATTTCTTCGATTTAAAAGCAGCTCTTCTGCTTTCTCCCACATCAACAGCATTCAACATTTTCCTTTGCAAAGGCTTAAATTGGCCTGCAATGCTAATGGTACCGCTTTTATCTGTCTGTTCATAGACATATTCACATGTAACACTAAAGGTGACGATCTCATTTGTTTGTTTTAGTACCTTGATATTCCCCACCCCCCCTTACATTTAAATCACCTCTTGCTTGAATTAGTCTGTAACTCTGAAGTCAAGCCTACATTGGCTGCTACAGGTCAGGACAACATTTGATTTCTCATCTGGTCGCTGTGCTGAATTGACAATACCCACATACTGCACACATATCCCAAATGAAGTTCAGATGTCCTTTCCAAACTCTATTGTGAAAATGTGTTATAGGCTAAAAGTGCTATGCTAAGCACATGCACTCTGAAGTAAGATACACTGAGGGTACTGCCAGTGTTTATGGTGGGATGCATGCAGAGTTTTCACAGCATCCATAGCTTCAAAACACCAGTGTGTATTTAACCCTTATTTAATCCAGATTTACCTGTTCAGGTGGGAGGGGTGAGTAAAGTTTTTTAAAAAACTGTTGCCAACAACCCATTTGCAATATCTAAACTACCTTATTACAATACGAAGCCCCATACCTGGAAGCACCCTGAGTACAATAGAACTTACTCTCTAGCATGAGTGCTTGGGACATTTGTGAACAACACCATGACAAGTCTGAGTTTTAATAGTAAGAGAGTCATATAGGCGGCAGCACTTGGTCTTGAGTACCATAAGAGATTAGGTGCATTTGATATACGGCCTGACTATGGGACTCTTGGCCTGTCCACCTTAGGAGATAGTCGTTTACTTCCTGGTTACTCTAGTGCAGTGGTTTTCAACCAGTGTGCCGTGGCCAGGGGTGCTGTGAGCAACGCTGGCATTTGTCCCTCTTTCTTTCCCTACTGATGCCCTCTCACGTCTCTGCCTCCCAAAGGCTTGCACAGCTGTTTATTGAAGCAGCCCTGGCTACAAGCTACACAGGCAAATGGTGCCTCTGGGAGGCACCTCTCTTTGGGGTGGGCAGCTCAAAGACCTGGGCTGAGAGTAGAGGAGACTGATGGAACATCACAAGGGAGTGTTCGAAAAGGGGTGAGGGGCTGCCAGCTCTGCAGGCAAGGGGTGATATAAGTGAGCTCCAGAGTCCCACAGGGATGCAGCAGAAAGAATGTAGTTGGCTAAGGAAGCCGTGGAATCAAAAAGGTTGAAAACCTCTGCTCTAGTGGGGTTGGTTTTTTTAACCAGTTAGTTCCAGAGACCAATATATGAGGCTTCTTTACATAGACTGGTTTTGTTACTTACTTTATGTGTATTGATTTTAACTGGCGCTTCTGGTTCTAGTACTGTTGTGTGTCATATTCCCTTTCCCCCTATACATTTTAGTCTCTCCCCATATGAAAGTAATTCCAGACCCTTAAAAATTGTTATTGTGTTTCACTGCATCATTACCAGCTCTCCTTCTTCCGGACTTTCTGATTCACAGCATATCCAAATTCATCACCGTTTCCTTGTGCACAGAACCACCACCTAGCTACCACCAGCCTTACTTAGAACAACAAACTTTGTCAGGCACTGATCTAATTGCCTCGGCGACATTCCATGGCGTTCCTTACCATCACTGGAAAGTAAGACGTATTGGAAAACAGATTTAGAAGCTGGCTAGGTTGGTGATGTCCTTTGTTGCATGTAGAAATCGGTGGCAGGTGCAAGACTTTAACACTGTGTTTTACTGTCATGTTCACATGAAGTATTGTGCTAAGATACAAAGGAATCCTTTCAACCCCATATCCATTTTCTGTACCAGGGATAGTGAATCTGTTGGATTGCACCTCCATTCATCCCTGGCCATTGTTCATGTTGGTTGGGGGTGGGAACCAGAGTCCCATAATGTCTGGACCATGGGCTCCTTACCTCCATCATCAACAGGATTTCTCTGACCTGTAACTTGCATCATGAGGGTGCACCCTCCCTTCACTGCCTGTGTTCAGAATTTGTTGTAAAATGTATTAATTGTAGCAGAGCCCAATCTCTGCTCGTGGTTTTCCCACAGGCATCTGGTTGGTCACTGTGAGAACAGCATGCTGGATCAGATGCCCTTACAATGTAGAAGGTGGGGCAGGCAGGACAGAGTGTTGTTACTGCTCCACTGGCCTCTGTTGCCAGAGAGGAGCATTGTTGGTTCGGAGAGCTTTGCCCAGGGGTAGATGTGGGGCACCAGCAGCCACATGGGGCCCCAAAGAGCCCTAATTCTTCAACTATACCAGCCTGAAACTGAAGTAAAATAAAAAAAAACCCAGAAAGAAATGCACACTCACCTATTGAGTCAGCAGACATGGGATGCAGCAGTCAGTCAACTGCTCTGCCTTGCTGCTCCCTGGACAGGATTCGGATTTTCTGTTCATCTGAGCTGGGGTATCCAACAACAGGAAACCAGGCTTAGTGATGTTTGATAAGCTGCTCACACACAGGTGATTATGGTCCATGTCAGTGCTTCCAGGTGCTTCAGGATTCTTGAGAACTTTTCCAGGCAAATTTTAAGCCAGGGTTCTCACTTTTTAGAAATTATCTTTTGGAAGCTGTTTTGTGTTTATCCTCTAAACTGCTGAAATCAGAAGTTTAAGGAACAGGGCAGGGCAGGAGAAGCAGTTTCCATTAAATGGAAAGTACTTTCTCCTCTTTAAGCAGGGTTCAAAGTTGCTTCCAAAGGGCTTCCAAAAAGTCCAGTGCTGCACTTTGAAGATGAGGACAAGATATTGTGGATGATGCAACAAACATGCACACCAGGGAAGCATTTGATCCACTTCAAACTTCTGGTATACACTGCCTACATCTGTTGCAAGTAACATGAGTGATGCGAGGGTAGACATGAGTGATGGTTGAAGAGAAACATAATGTGGGAACTCAGGGATGGATTACATCCTCTGCTTAATCCTGGTTGGAATTACTGTTATTACTATTACTATTATTACTATTATTATTGCTGTTATTGCTATTATTATTACTATTATTATTATTATACCCTGCCCATCTGGCTGGGTTTCTCCAGCCACTCTGGGCAGCTCACAGCATATTTGAGAACATACTAAAACATCAAACATTAAAAACTTCCCAATCCAGGGCTGCTTTCAGATGTCTTCTAAAAGTCAGATTGTTGTTTATTTTCTTGACATCTGAAGGGAGGGTGTTCCACAGAGAGGACACCACTACCGAGAGGGCCCTCTGCCTGATTCCCTGTAACCTCGCTTCTCGTAGTGAAGGAACCAGTAGAGGACCTTCTGAGGAGGATCTCAGGGTCTGGGCTGAACGATGGGGGAAGAGAAGCTTCTGCAAAACCTGAATATCAGGAAAGACAGCAATATTGTCCTACAATACAACTCAAAATATGGAAGGTTGTAATTATCTATCCAAAAGTGCCAGCAAGAATTAAATTCTGCAAGTATACTGGGTGTGGGGAAAACTTTAAAGTGAAAATTACCTTTGTGAAACACCTTAAGAGAGGCATTCCCAACCTTCAGCCCTCCAGATGTTTTGGCCTACAATTCCCCTCATCCCTGACCACTGGTCCTGTTGGCTAGGGATCATGGGAGTTGTAGGCCAAAACATCTGGAGGGCCGCAGGTTGGGGATGCCTGCCTTAAGATCTGTTAACAGGCAAGACTTTATAAATGACTGATTTGTGGGGAAAACCTCAGTAAGAAATCAAGCCTCACAGCAATGCTACTCTTAAACAAAACTTTTACACGTAACAAATGTGAGAAAACATTTGGCCAATTCTCAAAAAAAGGAAGTAAAAACAAAAATATAATTTGTGCCTTAATGTGTTAGAAATCCATAGATGTGTGGACTGCAAGAAGGTGTTTGTTTTACAAAATAAATTCATTAAGCGTCAGAAAATCCATGCAAGACACTGACAGATGCCACACAGTTTGACTAAATCAACATGTCCTCATGGAAAGCAAAGAAGCAGAGCAGAGTTGTGATCATTCAGTGCTAATGATTGAGCAGTTGACAAAGATGAGGGAGAACACTGACATATTTATTTTTTTCTACCAAGCAGTCAGCTCTATGCAAGAAATTCAGAAGCAGCTTGGTGTCTGTCCACCTAGCGATGATCTTATCAGTGGAGGCTCTTACGCTAGGGCTACTAGGGCCTAGCCCTCCCAAGGAAAACATCAAGCAACGGGACACCGTGACAGAAGCTGGAGTGCATGGAAATGCCATTTACCTCCCACTGCAGTGGTACCTATTTCTCTACTTGAACTAGCGTGCATTAGAACTGTCATGTTGGCAGAAGCTGGGACAGAGCAACAGGAGTTCACCCTGTCACATGGATTTGAACCACCGACCTTCCGATCAGCAAGCCTAAGAGGCTCAGTGGTTTAGACCACAGAGCCACCTGCTCCCTCCACAGTATAACACTAGGGAGAACTGGTGACCAACAAACCTCCCTAACTCAGGTCCTCAGTGTCCACGTCCTGTAACTTCATGATGGGCACCTATCTTTATTGCAAATCCATCTGAGAAAAAACCCCATAACTTCCATTTTCACTGTACAGATGACTTTAATTTTATGTATGTGACTTAACCCAGTAAATCTTTTTTTAAATGGGATGTCATTGGGTTTTGCAATATATTTGCAATATTTATAGTATAACATAGGTATGTCATTGTGTCACTGGATTATGTGTTTGAATTAGATTGGCTTGCTGTAAGATTTTTTTCTTTTTCTTTTTCTGGAATTCCTTATTGCTGATTTTTGAGGGGAGGGGTAGTTTTCTATCTGTTTTAAAATGATTTTTAAGCGCTGCTTTATCTAATTATATTTTTGTTGACTTTCTGATTTTAGATTGCTTTACCCAGCAACTTTGTTGCCCTTAATATTTGAATTCAATCAGCCATTAATTAAATAGCAAAACAAGGCAATGCCTTCTCAACTATTGATAACTGTTTGCTGTTGCTATAGTTTTTAGTTACCTGCATAATCTTATAGATATTTTCCCAAATTGTTTATTAGTCTGAATGCTTTTTTGACAGTGAAAATGTATTTCTTTTAAAAATGTGAAATGTTCACAATTAAAACTTATATTCTTATTTCAACAATAAAGTTGTATTAGACCTTTTCAAAGTGCCTGCATTTTAACAAAACTTACAAATTCTAAAGTCAAATGCAGTTAGTCCCCTGAACAGAAAAGTGCAACAATTATAAGTTTGCGTCTCATTTTTTTCCAGTTAATCAGCCACTGGTGGACTTCAGAGAACCATGAGCTGCTGCATGTCTTTGGCAAATTATAGGCCTCCACAGACCCAAGTAGTTTTACTATATCTTTGCTTTGCTCCTACTGTGATTGGTTCTTTTCTGTCCTTTCCTGTTCCTATACTGTATTGCTTTTCCTTCCTGCTAGCTGAATTTGTCTGTTCATCAAAGCACCTCACATGTGCAACTCACAGATACTACATCATATTCCGCCCATCTGCTCATGCTCCATTTCCTAGTCCTGCAGCCCTTTACCTAATTAATTTAATTTAGAACTACCGACTCTCCTGCCTACTCCCCTCTTCATACTTACCTGATCTATTGAGACAACCCACCTTACTCACTTCTAGCAAAGACTCCAATTCTAAGCATGGTGCATAGGATCCCTCCAACAAACGACACTCACCATTAAAGTCATCCAAATACGTTGTCTTTGGACTAGCGCATTCATTCCGGAAACTGCTGAAATCCACAATAGTGACTGTGCGTTCCACAAGCCTGAAACCAAGCAGAATTTTTAGTGTGCTGTTGCAATTGAGCTGAGGTCAGCACATTTTCCATTGTTTTTGCACATCTCCTGGGCTGCTATGAACCACACACTATATGTGTGCTTATCATCACCCTTCCCACTGCCACCCTGAATGCGATTAAATTTTGGGATGATGGGAATAAAATGAGCCAAGCAATAAGCTTTCCCCTTTTACACACACAATATTCCAAAATAAAAATGATGCAACATTCCAAGCCTCTGAAATCAGTGAGATGCTGTGGCTGGGGGGCGAACTCTCTAGGCACTTTACATCTTCCTTGTTAACAGCAGGAGCAGCTGCACTATTCCAAATGGCCATATTATGGCAGTCCCAGCAACATTACTCAGGGAAGCATACCACTGAAAAATGTCAACAACGAGGCTAAGTATGATAGGTGCATGCTAAAGGATAGGAAGTCAGATGCATTTAGTATTTTCAGCAGGAACCTTAAAAATGTAAATTGATAAGAATACATGTTGGTTTCTGCAATAATAATAATAATAATAATAATAATAATAATAATAATAATGTCAACATTGGGTCCAGTAGATTATCTGGAAGAACCTGATACAGCACTATTGATGAAGCAAAGCAGATATTGACCAATGGGAGACCACTGGTAGTCCCACAAAATAATTAGATATAAATGTAATTTCATTACTTTTCCAACATTAAAATAATGGGGTCAACAACATTTGGTACATTTAGAAAAATTAAAATTACATTCCTTTTTTTTACGGAATTTAGAATTGTGTTCAAATAATTTTGTTCAGCTTTTCAAATGTCAAACATGTAATAATAATTGCACATATTCATTTTATTTTGTATACTCTTGAACTTTGAGGTTGGCTGGGCTGGGTGGAGGGGCACCTCTGCCCAATACACTCCCCCCACGCACACCCAGTCCAGCTGAAAAAAGGGTTTGGATTCCACTGCCAAGTCCTCATATTACATCTGTAACATATATATGAATTTGCCAAGTTGAATCTGATGTCTTTTGATGTTTCAGAAGCTGGATATGCAAACAACCCATCCACAGAAAACATTTTAATGAATATGAAGTCACATCAATCACTGTTCCATGTCAGCAAAACGTAAGATATAGTTTTCAGCTTCAGAACCTTATTTAAAAATATTACAAAAGCAACATTTGCCCAGAACAGCAGCATATAAATATTTTAAAATAAAAATTGGTTCCTATATGTTTTTGGTAGTGATCTTGTGTATTTCCAAATCCATAAGTATGCTGTCAATAGTACTTCCAACTTTGGATGGATATTTATTGGGGGGGGAATCTCATTTAAAATTACATTCAATGATTTTTGAAGTGTGTATGTATGCACGCACAGAAGTGCAGATTTTGTGTGTCTGTCAGAAAGAGTGGAGGAGGGAGGGAACTGGATATATCAACTTCACATTAGTCAGGGACAATTATAAGTGCAGTCTTTCTTATGAACATGTTTTCCAAATCCAAAGGAGACTACAAGAGCTTCAAATCCTTCAACTATTCAACACACATGTGTAACTTTATCCAAATTAATAATCCCTTTTGAGAAAAGTTGAACATATGTTTAAGTGCTCTTGAGATCAGGTACTTTAATACCCTACTACTGTGATGACAAATCATAGGAAAGAATTAAATATTACAGTCCTGGATTCTCTTATTCCTAAGGAGGAAGCCTTGGTACTCAGAAATGTAATGACTCTAGTCATTCCTTCCCTTTTTATAACTCACTGCAAGGGTATGGGCTTAGCAGATACATTCTTTTGAACCACTAGAAACACACACACACACACACACACACACACACACACACACACAACCCAACAAATTTATTGCTATATCATGTTCTATAGGCATCTATCATGTTGCTTTTAGTGCATCCTTACGTTTAGGAGCTAGAACTTCCTAAACCACCTGGATATGGGCACTGCTTATGATTCTTTAGGAAGGTTCCTGCTAAGGAACGGACTGCAAGCTAGATGGACCATTGGTCTGACCCAATTTGACTTTCTGATATGCTATTCCAAATAACCAAAACATTAAATACCATATTGGCCTGAATATAAGCCTCACTTTCCCCCCAAATTCCGATCATGAAAAGTTAAAGTGCGGCTTATATTCGCAACCTAATGGGATGCACCCAGGAGCACGGGGCAAACAGCGCCAGGAGTGTGGCAAAGAAGCGCCCGCCCCATGCTTGGTTCCCTGTCCTCTCCCCCAAGGCCAAGAAGGGAGAGAGCGAGGAAGGGTAAAAGCTGAAGGCAACACAGTGCGGCTCCCCGCTCCCCTGTCCAGTATGCAGCCAAGAGCAGAGAGGAATGGAGCGTCTTAAATTTGGGTATTTCCCCCCCCCCACACACACATACACAATTTTAAAGGTGCAACTTATTTTTGGGTGTGGCTTATATTTGGGTCAATACGGTAAGAAACAACAGGTGATCAGCTAGAAGCAGGAGTGCCAGCTTGGCCCCATGACCATGGGTGCTCAGATCTGTGGGTGCCATGAAGCGTGCATGGTCCTGGAGCCGAAATTTGTGGGTGCCCAGCCATTTCATGGAGAATTTTGTAGGTGCTTGGGCACCCAGGGAGCCAGCACCTATGGCTGGAAGGATCAAAAGGTTTTGTATATAGAGTGTATGTTCCACGCGTTTAAACACAGGTGTATTATTTTCAGGCATACAATTAAATTTGTGAATTTAGTTTGATCTCTTGTAACTTGCTGGAGCTTAGGTTTCACTTGCAGAGCAGAGCTATGTTTTTTGCCTCAATCACCCTTGCCAGAATCAAAGTTGTTCAAAGTTGTTGCTTTTACAGGCAGGAGTTTTTCCTTTTTAATTAGGTATGCATCTTACAGTAAAATAGTACCATTACAGATGAAGGGATCAATTCTCTGCTGTATGTGAGGGCAGCTGAGGGGTCTTAGGATACCATGGAACTCCCTTTCCACAGTCAGATAAGGAGGTTAATATTGGAAGACAACATGGTTCACCATGAAAGGTCAGCTAGACAGAATTTGGGGATATGGCATTATCAGAATGACTGGTATATCAAAACTGAGTAATTAGCAGCATTGCTAAGAGAGATAAATCTGATGTAATATAGTAGCTCTTTATATCATATCCATCAGGTCAGATAACATTGTGAATAAGTTATATTCAAAGGTTAGACTCTGCTTAAAGATAACTCTCTGTAATTTCAGTCCACTCTGGCTTATAACTATATTTTATTGTAATTTACCTATTGACTTGAAATGTGACATCTTGAGGCACTGTAGCCAGCACTGCTGTGTGCACTTTGATATTGTATCTTGCTAACTTTGCTATTCATGTTTTATGTTTTCATTTTAAACATTTAAACCAAAAGGTAATTACAAACAAGAGGAGGTCAATGGTTGGAAACCTCATCGTGGTGGCATGGTTTGAGGATGGTAGGGGCTGAAAAGGGGACAGCTGAGGCCTGCCAGGCTTTGACCCAAATGAAAAAAAGCTTGGGTTTGGCCCTGATGCTGGGGTGGAACAGAGAAGACTTTGAATCCAAATCACCCCCATTTCCCTGACATAGCCCCCCAGACGGACCGGCAGACTATGACTAGTTCTTCTTCCCTTTATAGGCAAAGCAACTACTACAGCCAAGCAACTACTTCAGACTGAAGCTGTAAACAAAGCAGAGCTTTCTCTTGAACCCCTGGCTCTGCTGTTTGTTTCTGGAGAGAAATAAGGAACTGGAAAGCATTCAGGTACAGGCTGATTCCCACAACCATTTTGATAAGGTGGTGAAGCCCCCAGGAGCTGTAATTTTCTCCCTAAAGGAGGGAATGCTCTGACACATGCAAAGACCACAGACTGTATATTACATAAAATGCTTAAAGATGTGCACAGAGTCACCATGTCAACACATGCTGAAGAAGTCACAAGATTGGCCAATAAGCCGGAGATGGTAATTTGTAGTGGCTGCACTGCTACATCAAGGTGGTTATGTCCACTGGGTCTTGGCACACCTACACATGAAAGCAGTGTAGTTGTGATATGGATCCAGTATCTGGCATTAACTTCACACTGATTAGTCTGTTTTAATGTAGACACTGAAGTAGATTAACTTATTTTCTAGCTAAGGAAGTTATCTAACAGTATAAAAATACCTGCTGGAAAGTGATATGTAATATAGGGATTTTCTGTTCTGTATCTCTTTAAGACTAGTAATTCTAAGCATATTTAATTCAAAGCCAATTCCACTTAAATCAATGAGATGGGTGTTTCAAGTAAACATGATTTGTGTTGGACTGTTGGAAATATAAGTGCAAGCAGAAGCCAGGAGCTGCTACTTCTTTTTTAGCAGGATGCAAATGCACAAGTCCAGGGCTGAGCTCCAGATGGAAAACAAATTCTGGGACCCACCTTTAGAGAACATTAGCTCATATTAAGCCCTGTTTTTTGGACAGGCTTTTAAAGATCACTACCCGCTAAAATAGTGTGTTTGCCCCATGCCCTCTGCTGGAAAGAATCAGAATTTAGGAATTAGGGTTGCCTAGTCTAAATCCCCAAAAATAACAGATGGTATCTAAACCTAACATACTGAAGCAAGGAACGTTCATGATACTCTGTCGGGCTCTGATCTTTTGTAATACAATAAGAATCCAAGCCTTCAACTCAATGAAACCACTTCTGCTCTGGGTGGATAGGAATCCAGGAGGAATTAGTTTTTCAGTTTCAGCCTTTCAGATCAATATGTGAAACCAAGCAAGCCCTGTTATTTCCTCCTCCTCCTCTCTCCTCTATGCCAGCCCCACAAAGCCTGCCTGTCAGTGATGAATTCATAATTCAGGGATGAAGTGGTGGTGAAGAAAGACTATCAAGATTTGAAAGCCCACTCATGTAGATACAGTATTAAAGATTAAATGCAAAAAGGTGTAATTAAAGAGATTTTTCTGGGGTTCCTCTAAAAAACAATTGTCACTATTTTATTTTTTTAGCTTTTTTTCCAGAGAAGCATATAATTATAACTTTATGCTGGTGAATCTAATAATGTAAAAAAGAGCCCTACTAAATCAGACCAAAGACCCTTTGAATTCAGCATCCTGTTTCTCCACCAGGTGCCCCAGTGGAAGTTGAAAAGTAGGACACAACTACTCTGTGAGGCCATCATCTTCCTTCAGCTGGTACTCAGGGGCCTACTGCCTCTGATCCTGGAAGTGTTACATAGCCATCATGATTAATAGCAATTGATGGCCTTATCCTCCATGAATTTATCTAATTCCCCTTTTATGTTCACCATATGTTGTGGAAGCAAATTCCACAGTTTAACTATGGGCTGTGTGAAAAAGTATGGTGTTTTGATTGTCCTGAATCTCACATCATTCCAGATTATTGAACTGATTCCATTAATTTCTTTATTCTAGATTCTAGTATTATGAACAAAGAGAAAAACACATCTCTGAGCACTTTCCCCACATTATGCAAAGCCTCAATACATTTATAACATACCCTCCCTTAGTTACCTTTCCCCCTAAACTAATTAGCCCCATGCTTTGTAACCTTTCTTCTTTGCAAGTTGTTCCAATTCCCTCATCACTTTGCCCCCCCCCTTTCTGCACCTTTCCCAGCTTTACAATATCATTTTTAAGCATGGCAACTAATATTCCAAGCTTGGTTACACTATAGATTTGTATACAGTATTTATTTTTAACCCATTCCTAATGATCCCTAATAAATTTGATTTTCACAGCTGCTGCACACTGGGTTGACAAATTAATGGAACTGTCCACCCTGACCCCAATATCCCTTTCTGGTCAGTTACTTCCAGCTTGAACCTCTTCATTATATATTTGAAGTAAAGATATTTTGCTCCTTTGTGTCTCACATAATTTTTCACAGTGAGGCTCATTTGTTATTTTGGAGTGATTCACAGCCAGTTTGGAGCTCTTTGCAATACAAACATACAAATCTAGCACCTAGATCCATTTAATCAGATACAATCATGTCCTGTCCAAATGTGGAACGAGTAAATGGGTAAGAGATATAGGAACTTCTGAGTACATAATAAGCATATGTAGCCTGAAATACAGGTAGGAAATTAAATTTCCTGGACTCCCTAAATTACACCTCTGTTATCTGTCTGTCTAGATGCAGCAGGCAAAGGGTAATAGATTCACAGCATTGTAGAGTTGGAAGGGGCCATGAGGATCATATAGTCCAAACCCCTGCAATGCAGGAATCCTTTGCCCAACGTGGGGCTTGAACCCACAACCCTGAGATTAAGAGTCTCATGCTCTACCAACTGAGTAACAGAAGTAATATTTAATATCCTTCCTTCTTGATACATAGATCTCCATGCACTGCGGCAGAATGCATGCACTCAGATGCATGCAAGGATATCTGTGTGCTCAGCAGATGGTTGGTGCTGGCAGAAGGTGCAGTAGTTTTAGAAAGGGGGCCAAGTTCAAAACGTTTGAGAAGCACAGCCTTAAGAGGAACAAGTTCATGTTTACTCTTCCATATGGTACAGAATTGTTCGAAACCCAACTATGGTGTAACTCTAAGGGCTTGAAAAGCACAAAGGAAATAAAAATATTACTTTTAAGCAAAGCTATAATCCTTCAGGAATCCCAGCCACAGACCTGGGGATGATTGCATCAGACAACCTACAGAGTATGAAATATAGCCCTTCTCAAAGCCTAAATACAGGAGAAGAAAAGCAAATGGTAAAAAAATTACAGTTAATGTGAGGAAAGAGTGGAGCAATACAAGTGATCAGTGATCCCTTTTGACCTGCCACCCAGTCTTTGTCCATTTTTATATAGTCATCATGGGAACATTTCAAGGAGAACAAAGAAGTGCTTCAATAAAGGAATTATTGTGATTTGTTTTGGAGAGTGAGTATGATTTGTCATTTTTTAACAAATGGGAACGACAACCCAGTGAAGGCTAAAGCATCTGATCTGTGCTAGATTATGCAAAAGCACTAAGTTAACATTAATGAGCTCATACAAATCTCCAAGTACTCTCAATGCTGATCTGTGGCAGCCATGGGGGAAAGAAGCTTGTGGATGCACCCAACTATCCAAAACACATTAATTCTCAATAGATTATGTTTATCTAACCATGGGGAAATTCTGTCCATGTGACTTTCAGCTATGTCAATTTATAGTAAACTGACAATTGACTCTTGGTATGCCACTGAAGATCACCCTAAACATTGGTTGGTGGTAGGCATGTCAGGAAATGCTGACAATTGTCCTATGTTGCAAACTGCATCACTGTGGCTTCTGAGTAAAGTGATAGTCGTAATGTGGTGAGCACTATCACTACATCTTCTCAGGCAATAATTTTCCTGAATTACTATGCCAAAGCTGGCCATTGGCTCTTTCTCAGGAGGAAGGAGTATTAAGAGGGCTACCTCTCTCCATGGAACTCTGTCTGACCAACATGCTCTTGTGCACTTTGATTTTTTATCTTACTGATTAGTTTTTAAGCCCTGCCTAATGGTTTGATCCTGACTACCAGGGTCAGCCCATCCATGAGGCAAGGTGAGGCAAATGCCTCAGGTGGCAGGATTCACAGGGGCAGCAGATCCAGCTTACAAGGAATGCATCACCTGCTGTGGTGGTGGCAATGACAGCTGCAGCATGCTCCTTGGGGGCTGGATCTGCCGCCTCCTCGGCAGCCCCCACAATGCTGCCTCTATATCAGTCTCTGGGGAGGTGCTGCTGGTCTCCTACCAGCCTTGTTCCTGATGTAGATCTTTATTCTGCCCCCTTGCTCCTGATGTACATCTTCACTCACCCCTTCTTCCCTGGACAGAGGTGGGGAGCACTATTTTGTGGTTTGCCTCAGGTGCTAAAATGTATTGGGTCAGCCCTGCTGATAGCCTCCCAACAAGAATATAGGAAGCTGCCATTGATCCATCTGGCTTAGGATAGTCCATACTAGCTGAAAGCATCTCTCCACAATTTCCAACAGGAGTCTTTCACAGACCCTTCGCAATCCTGCCTGGGACATCAAGAGAGATAGAAAGAGCACACCTCTTTATGGATCCAGGGTGGGCTTAGTTCCTAACAATAAGAGATTTGTGACAGATCCCATTTCCAGTTCCCTTGCCAAAGTAACATTCTACCAGACAGTCAGCAAGTGTCCCACATGGATCCATTGCAATGCACTAATTACAGATTCCATCCGTTGTGCATTAAGTGGATACAAGTACAGCCAGCCCAGGGGCACTAGGCTCTTTGCCTTAATTTGTGCTGTGTGCCATTCTCTTTTGCTGCAGGCAAAAGTAATTTCCCTAGCCTGGAAATGTGATTTAATTTGACCTGGTTCACATAGGATCGACATTTCTAACATTCCCACCCCTAATTTATGTGGGACTATGGGAAATTAAGTTTGGCTCACAATGATGGTCGCTCAGCTCTACTTTTCCAGTATCCTCTGCATCCTTCTGTTGCCTTTTCCATTCCGTGGCGTCTTCTTGTCTTGCATTCCTGCAAGGGCACCACCACAAAGATGTACAGCTTCAGCAGTGATTCTGTGAAACAAACAGAAGGTGTACTGTGGATAAACAGCTGACAAGCGACCTCAAAAAATTGTAGAATAGACCTTTTCTCTGGAGGGTTTTCCGAGGGTGAGTTTATCTCAGGGATCATTTGCTTTGTTGTGCATCAAACATAAAACCAAACAAAGCCAAAATCATACATCCAACTTGACCCTAGCTCTCACCCTGACCTCAAATTGTGCTCAGTATAGTTATACCCAATCCATAGCATCTATAGATATGAAAAATGCAGTATTCACCAAACCATTAGAACACCCCAGTGTCAACAAGCAGGCAAATGAAGTTTGGGTAGGAAACTTTAACTAACAGTGTGCTTGAGCTCTAGGTGGGCGGGAGTGTAATTTATTGTGGGCTTTAATATGTCTGGTGCCGTGATGAGAAAATGTCTTTAACAAGAGCTGTAAAAACAAAACTTCTTTATGTGCAAAGGTGAATCATCTGGCTGCATAGAACAGTGTATTTCCTCCAAGACTCTGTCCTCATAGGCACAGCTGCACATGCCGCTGTTGCAATAGAATAAACCCCTAATGATATAACAAAGCCTCAGATGCTCCAGTCTGAAGCGGGAACTGCTGAGCTGGTAATTCTGAATGATGTATGCAGGACAGCCCCTGAATTAGGGCAATCCAGTGTAGTTACAGTTTAAAAGTTATTGACTTTTAAAATGCAGAAATACATATTATTGGGGGGGGGCATCTGGCTGGGGGCTGAATGTAGCTCCCCAGGCATCTCTATCTGGCCTTTGGGACTCTCCTAGCCCACATCCTCTTCCCATGACATAACCCCTCTTATCAAGCTACACCCCTCACTGGCCCTGCCCCACACCAAGCATTTCTGCCTGGCTGGCATGTGTTCTTGAACTATGACAATGCCTCTTGCTTGCCTTGATGGAGAGATGTGCATGTGGAAAACTCTGACTTTTTGCATGGCTGGAATGTAGCTTAGTGTTCCAAGGTAGGAATCACCAGCATTCCTCCACCTGCTTTTTTACTTTGGCCTTGCCTACTACTGCCATTTGCCCGCCCCGCCCCTGGCTTGGCTGACAAGGCATGTGGGATGTCACTGACCATTGTCTTCTCCGTCCCACTGTCCATGGCTGCCTGCTGAGGCCCTTATCTGATGGATGTGCCAGAGCACAATGCATGCTATAGCCAGGCTCACTGCTGAGCACATATAGTGATCAAGTGTGCACTGTGAACGCTGAAAATGCAGCTCCACTGCCTCAGTCGTACGGAGGAGGGACACCTGGCACACTTCGCAAAAACGGCAGCAAAGGTGGCATGTGCCATACAACACAATGAGGTGCTGGTGTGGTAGCTGCCCATGGATGTCAGCCTGGGTGGGCAGGAGTCTCTCAGACCAGGCACCTGAAGAGGAGACGAGAGAGAAGTGGCTTTGCACCCCTTGGTACTGCAGGATAGTAATGCCAGGAAATACTTTGGGACATAAAGCTGCCAAGCCTGGCCTCAATAGACTGTCAAAGCCCCTCCTGGCCTCTTTGCCCCCCTGACTCACATGCCCTGCCCCCTACTGATGACGCATTCCCTCCTGCTTGCTGCCTGCCCTCCTCTCCTCCCTCAGATCAGGGCTGCACCTTATCCCACTCTGCCCTGCTGCTCCCTGTTGCCTTGGACCTCCCTCCTCCTAGATGCCTGTCTCCCCCCAACCCTTTGTTTATCCCACAGCTAATGCTTCCCTGAGAGTGTTCATGCACTGGGCTGGCCATTGCCACCCAGAGCGGGTTGTCGCTCCTTCCCCAGTCGTGATAGGAGTTTGCCTGAGCTGAGCCAAACCTGTTTCCTGCAGCAGTAGCTTCCACGTGTGTAAATGTTTGAAGTTCTCAATTTCTGTCTGTCAGGTGGTGACCCTGCTGTAGGAAAGGCCCCTGCAGCAAGGGTGACTAGGCCCAGAAGCAGAGCCTGTGAGGAATGCAGGAAGAGTCCTGCTGAGCGACCCCTAGTGTTCAGAGAAGGCAATCCCTATCTAAGCATCCCTGAGAATAAGCTAGACACAGAGAAAACAGTCCTAAGGGAGGCCTTTCCAGAAATCAGAGTGCACAGGTCCTTGGTTCCTTCATGGGAGGCGGTGGTAGGGGAAACTTGGTTCCTTTCTGAGGTGCCATATGGGGAAAGAGGGTGAGTTTGGCCTCTCAGCAACACAGGGATTCCTTGATATAATCAGCATCTGAAATAATAGTGCCCACTGCAAGTGTGGTTGGTTGGGGGGGCAGGAGTGAGGTTCATGAGGGTGTGCTTTCTTTGTGCTGGCATGGCAGCCAAGTATAATTCCTTCCTTTCCACCCTCCTCTCCACATCATGGTGATAGAAAGGAGGCACATCCAGAGCGGCTCCAATGTTACCTTGAGGGTCTCCTGTGGAGAAGGCTGCCTAGGCCTTAATCTTGTCTCCGATTGCAGCACAACTCCTGCTGCTGCTGTTGTGGTTGTTGTTTCAGTTGTTGCTGTGTGGTCCTGTTTGTCTTTTGGTTGTGAAAGTCATGTTGGTATTCAACCTAGCAGACCCTTCCCCACCTGCAGCAGCTCTCCCCCGGCCTGGGCACTACTTAACCCCTCCTGCTGTCCTAACAGAACTTGAGACAACACTACCTGAAGGACCAACTTCTGCTGTGAAGGTAAGAGAAAGAACAGAAAAGAGAGCTTTTGGAGGTATCGCTGGAAAACAAGCAGTGGGCCCAGCCGGAATATTTTTTAATAAGGTTGTCCCTGGTGTCATGAGGCCTCTCTTAGACATATTTTCTGGGGATTTCTGGCTGTGCATCGTTTACAGGTTTATTTGAGGTGACTTTCTGCCTATTGAGGTGGACAGCAGCAGCATGTTACTCTGAATGTAAAGAGAAAGACATAAATAGCAATGAAGAAAGAGGGTAATAAGAAAAATATTAAACTGCACAGTGGAAATCCCAGGAGGATTACTATAGCAATAACTGACCTCCAATATAGTGCCATTTATTTCATGCCATGGCAGGTTTATAGGTGCTTGTAGGGCTGCAGACGAACACCAATTTGCCACTGCAGTTTGTTTTGATAACTGAAACTTTCAATAAATCTGTATTAAAATCAAAGAGAAAATTAAATAGACCCAAGTTGGTGGCATGAGGGATAAGGTAGCACATTACTACACTGGCCTACTCAGTCAGGGACATCTGTCTCTTAGTTCAGTTGCAGGTCACAATAGTAATGATTGTTTGAGATCCAGGGAACATCCCTGAATGGCAGGCATCCAGCAATACTGCACAATGCAAAAGGAAGACCTGTCTGCTTTTTCAACAGTACAAATGGTGATGATATTATTATGATTATGATTAAATATATATTAATCCCAAAGGAGCCTAGAGTAGTAAACAAACAATAAAACAATAAATGCATCTTACAAACAATTCCAATTGAAGTAGAGACTGGGAAAATTCTCTAAAATGTGTGGGATAACCATACTCATATAACCAATGTGCTGAAGTCTAATTAATGCATGAAGCGGTTTATATCATACAGTAAGCTGACCTGCCAGGCTTGGCTATGTCCACTTCCCCACTTAGGAGGATCTAGGTAATCAAACCTTTATTCCCCCCAGTCTACCTGCAAACCTCAGTGTGTGAAGAAGTTTGAGCCAGTTGTTCCAGCTCAGTCCACACAGCGCTCTCTCTCCCTTGAGTTTCTATACCAATAATTTAGAAATTTTCAACACTTTGTAAGTAAGCTATGTTTTACTGCATGGGCAACTATTTCTGAATAACATGAATCTGACCTTTGTAGAGTTTGTAAGTAAACCATTTTTTAACTTACAAAACATGGTCTTTTCCTATGCTGAGGGAAGAAGGAAACTTTGGAAAGAAACTTTAAAAAGGGATATTTTAGAAATCACTATAAAGTATCTATTTCAAAGGTCTAAAAGTCTATATTTCTCATGTTTTACTTTGTTGCATATTTTGTGACTTAAAATCTCTGCTGGGATTGTCCCAAATGTGGCTCTCTGATTGTGGGATGCTTTCCCCAGGGAGTCTCACCTGGCACCTTTGCTACATATCTTTAGGCACCAGGCAAAAACATTCCTCTTCTCCCAGGCCTTTAGCTAATTAAACAATCTATGGTCTTTTAAACTGGGGCGGGGGGGGGGTATTGCTTTTGTTACGTTGTGTATCTTTGTGCTTTTATATTGTAAACTGTCCTATGATCCTTGGTTGAAGGGTGGTATAGAAAATGAATGAATGAACGAATAAATTAATGAATGGTATCCAGGAAAACACACACACACACACACACACACACACACACACACACTTGCACCAATAAAAGGCTTGTTGGAAGAGATACCGACCGGTAAGTCTTTCATAGGCACAATACAACAGAGACTGCACCTAATATTTAACACTAAAGGCTCAGTTCCTTTATTATGCAGAATGGACCTTCTGTTAATATGGTACAGTATAAGCAGGAGGCCATCACTTACAGAGTGCAGTGATTGGCTGGATGTATAAGGGGTGAGATGATCTTTCAGGTATCCTGGTCCCAAACTGTATAGGACTTTATGCATCAAAACAAGCCGTACAGCTATTTAGCAGCCAGTGGAATTCTTCCAACAGCAGGGTAACATGTTGGTGATATTCTGTCCCAGCAAGCTGTCAAGGCACCACATTTTATACCAGCTACAGCTTCCAGACTAACCTCAAGAATATTACAGTAATCCAACCCAGAGGTTATCAGCACACTGACAACAGTGGTCAGGCTATCGTTAGCAAACAGTGTTCCTCCTGCCCCGGCCAGTTTCCACCTGAGCCACATCAGAAGGCAACCTCTAGATGATATGATGAATGGATACAGCTCAGTTCTAAAGGACAGAGTTTTGCTTTTTCTGTGAGGAACTTCCAAGGGACTGAAACAGTAGTCTCTTTCATTCCTCCCCACCCCCGCTCCAGATTACAGATCTCACTTTAGAAGGATTGCAAGGACTATCACCTTCCTACCAACTCAACAGCAGGAGATACGGTTAGTCAGAAAATGAGAAGTTGAAGTATAGAAAAGTACATTGGCAAATGAATGCATGGCCAATCTGCGTTGATAGGGGCCACACTGTCCCTGGCCCTGGGCCATAGTGTAGAGGCTGGAAGTTAGTTTTGCTGAAGAATCTGATTCCTTCAAGGTTGATCAGGCTCTACCATAAAATCAGCACCACAATTAGTACTTTTCAGTTGTGGAACACATGTGCTCAGGCACAAAAATAAATATAACATTAAAGTATGTAACTCTCCAATCACATTATTCATTTCCCGCTGCTTTTGAGAGCAGCTTTGGTCAAGATTTAATATTTTGGCAAAAATGTGCCACATATTGATTCAAGACGGTGAGGTCCACCAAGGCTAGATAAAATCCCTCTAATCCACTATCCCCTGGTTGGCCATCCCTGAAATAATGGAACAATTTATTCATATTGTCATTCCCTGCTTCCTCCCTCCCTATCCCTCCCTCTCTGTGCAGAATCAGTAACATTTAATAAATCATATATGGAGACACCTCCCTTATTAGGACAATGGCTGGTCTACTCAGGGGGTTGTGACTTCTTCAAGCCCTGTTTCTTGAAATGTTGAGAGCAAAATTGTAATAGCAATTTTAAGACCATTATACAAACAATAAAAACAGACGTACAATTAATATTTCATAAATGACTGTCCTCCTCTGATGGAAGCTGTATGCATCTGAATGCCAGTTGCTGGGAATCACAAGTGGGGATAGAGTTGCGGCTCTCAGATCCCTCTTTTGGTCTTTGCATAGGCATCTGGTTGACCACTGTGAGAACAGGATGCTGGACTAGATGAGTCATTGGTCAGATCTAGAAGGCTCTCCTTATGTTCTGATGAGTCTGTCACACCACAATGAAAGCCTTATTTAAAAATAATAATCAGGAGGTGCCTAAATATAATGATACTGGGTGTCTGTCCAATTTTAGCTGAGAATTGATTCCAGGGTGGTGGAGCTGCAACACTAAAAAGCTCAGTTTCAAGTACAAACTAAGTGCATCTCTGGGGCATGTTGTACCCTTCTCATCTGAGAAGTTGCTAAGCAGGGATACATTTATTACACAGATTTATTTATTTCATAAAATTTATATACTGCTTGATTCTAGAAAGAAAACAAAAACCTCAGACTAGTTTATAAAATATATGGGGTGAGGCGCTCACTTAGGGAACGTGGTCCAATTTTGTATTTTGCTTTTTTTCTGCTTCCCAAGATCTCCAAAAGAGGGCCTTCTAGTTTTGAACCAAACTTTACAAGATAAATGAATTAGCCCTGCGGAAGGTCCCAACCAAATCTCCCCATATCTATGATTTGAGATAATCATGCTTCTGGCTGGCCAACAATTATGCTTTGTGTTGCTCAAGACAAGAGGGTGCTCTTGAGAAGTCTTTAGCCATGGAGTAAAAATGGAAAGGCAACATAATCTACATATGACAAAAATAAGCAATACAGCTATTTTGTGTATGATATTGTTAGGCATACCTTGATGTTATCATATCTCTGGAATCCCTTCATAGACTAAAGAGCTCTTTTAGATGAGCTGGTAAACTTAACATAACCTGACTGAGGTTGACTTAGTACAGAATTAGCCTAGCCAGTTTCAATTCTGACACAAAATAGATGCCATATTTTTACCACATATTTATGTAACTATTCCCTGTTGTGATTTTGAGAATGTAACTCAGTATGGGAAAATGAGAAGGTGGCTCTTATGGGATACACTTTCGTTTGTTATGATTGCTACGTCTAGTTTTAAAAAGGAGCTGAACTGATGTGAAGTCCATGCATCTTTTCTTGATTATTCAAAGAAGATTTCCAGTCTCACAATAGCCCTCCTACATACAGTATTATTCAGGTAACAAGGAAAAAAAGTGTGCTGAGGCTTATGGGTATCTAGGCTGAAACCATTAGATTACATAGAAATAGTACTGATTAAAAATAAAATAAAGTTTATTCAGCAGAGAAAGGAAAACTCAGGCATATCTGGAAATAAAAGAAACAAAAAACACATTCTCAGTTATAAAATCTATTTGTTTAGACACTTTCCTTGGACAGGACAATATTTTGCAGCTTGATCCTTTGGATGCTTACTTGGAAGTAAGTCCCTCTGTGTTCAGTGGAGCATAGGATTGAAGCCTCAGAGTCACAAAGCAGCCTTTTTACCAAATGCATGAGTTCTAGAGAGAAAAATCTAATATCTGCCCTTGTTAAGTCTAAGTAAAAACTTGGATTAGTTACTCCTCAATGCACTTCCATCACCCTTTTGTACTCAGATTCAGTGTGGCTAAAGAATGGTAGATGTTGATCTTTCAGTGCATAATTATGGATGTAGAAAATATTATAATCTCTTTTCATGATTGAATATGGAACCAGGGAGTGGTGTACATATGGCATTGCTCTCACTCACAACCTTCAGGCTCCTAGCAACCTGACCCATTTTTCCTTTTTTACGCATTTACCCACAACAACTCATATCAGAGGAACTATGGATTTAGTGGAACCTACTTAGTTACTCTAAAACTAGTCTTCATCCTCATCCTGATTGTCTTTGTTACCCATTTAAGGTGTATTTCACTTTGCTGAATATTTCATATTGACCGCCATTTCAGAATAATAACAAGAAGAACATAAAATAAATCAGTTCTCTCCTCTCTCCATTTACAATCTAACCTGATGACGTTATGGAGAACTCAAAGGCTTGCACATTATTTTGCGATATTTTGATCAGTCTAATTAAGGTATTGGCCTAATATGGACTTTTCCATTTTTCATTCTACAGCCATTCTCAGGGGTATTGGACAGATCTGTGGGATTGCATCTTCTTTCTAACATCAACACATAGAAACACCTCTGTGACAGTTATTACTGATGTCACTTCCCATAATATCTTGGTGGAAATTAAAGCAGCAGAAAAACTGAGGAGAGAAAATAGGCAATAAATATCTTCAAAGTAATGTCTCTAAGCCAAACACATTGCAGTTAAAGGCATGGTTGCAAGAAACAACAAGAATATAAAAATGTTCACTGTGAATATTAGTATTCCCTCCAAGATGGTTAATTAGTCCCACTGGCAAAGTTAGGAACTTAAGGATTTGGTCCGACACATTATTAACTTGTTAAACAGAACATAGCATAATATAAGATTTCTCCTTATGGGTATTACAGACATCATCACAATATTTGTACTCAGCCAAAGTGATTATGCTGGCATACGGAAACTGTTTTCAGAAACAAGATGGTTGTGTAATCCATTCTGGCTGATGCTGAAGCTCTTGAAGAGCTCTTAGTTTAATTCTCCATGGGATAGTACTAAATTTGGTGGGGGACCTATGGCAGACCACCCTGGCCTAAGGCAATGGCAGCCATCGGTTGCAATTTCCTGTGCTTCCTAAATCCCATCCCAATTTCTCAGCATAGGGCCAAAACTGCCAAAGAGCATACAAAGCGCTTCAAGTTATTCCATCTCTTTCCCTACTTTTCACCCTCCCACTGACTTGAGTGCTGTTGAGATGCGAGATCTTGCCCTTATTCTGCCAAATTATATTACCTCTTGAACATATAACTTTATCTGTTGTAACCCTTACGCATAATTTTAATTAAGCTGCTTTAAAACAAAGCCTTTTCTACAAGAGGACTCCCCCCACACCCAATCTGGCACAGTTCCTGTGCTTTTAACAGCTTTTCTTGATATAGGACCCACCACAAATCCTTCTTTAAGAGGCCTCAGATAGTGGAGGACGGTTGCTCCATACTCTATTTTTCATCCAGAAGAGCTATAGTTGGCTCTTTGGTCTTCAGTTCCTCATAACAGCTCTGGCCAATCCCTATGAAACCTCTCTTGAGAGTGCCAAATCCCATGTAATAATCAGAGGTCCTCCAGGATTCCAAGAGAAATAAAATGCATCCAGATATTTTGTTCTACAGTCCTACAAACTATAGTTTGGAAGATAAAGAATTACCTGAGGGATTGTTCAAACCACAGTGTGCAGCAAAATGTTTGACAAATCAGGAAGTTCTATTAATCAAACCAATGTGAGGGAAGAAGAGAGCACCTGCCCATAAAGTTCATTCCTAATCCTCAAACCAAACCATTGATCAGAGAATTAGATGTCTTCCAATACATAGGATGCACTGACAGTGCCTATGACTGACTGCCTGGTCTGCCCTGCCCACATTTAATTCAGTTTGCCTGTTCCTCTTTAGCCCTTCCTGGGATGACACAGGTTGTAACTAAAGATACTACTGCACCTAGCATGGAGATAACAGGAGTAGGTCAAATATAGTAGCCAGACAGTCAGGAATCATAGGTTCAAGCCAAGTTGAGAATAAAATAAAAGGTGATTACATGGAAAATGTAGATGAGAGTTTAGGCTCTGCAAAATAGATGCCAGAAATAGAACCAAGAAAATATAAGAATCAGGAATAAGAAAGTGCACAGTGTTAAAGTAGTGAAGCAGTAAAGCAGAATTAGCACAAACTTGTTGTATTATGCTATTCAGTACTCTGCTGAACTACTGTTTGGCATATTGCTTTTAACAAATTAATAAATACTGTGTTGAAATGATTATGATATTTTAAGTAGTTTTATTGGGAGGAGTTTGAATTGTGTACCACCTTGAGCTCCTTGGAGGAAAAGGTGGTACTGTATACAGTACTATTTTTCTGGAAAAAGAAGTGTATAAGGGAACACCTCCCTTGTTCTCTTATAATGGCAATAGGAGCCATCTATGAGGTGTCAGAACTGAGTTCCAGTGAACTGCAGCTGAAAAAAGTCCTGGTGGTATATAAATGTAATTAATGACTAACTAACTATGTAAACTGCCCTGGGAATAATTTTATTTTGAAAGGCGGTATATATATTTTTAACCCACATTTTTCCTTTCTGACGTCTGTTCTCCTTGCTACATTCAGATGTGGAAGAGGGGAAAAGAAGCTGTTACTGAAAGATATGCCCATTAGGAGCTGCATCCAGTGCTAGTCCTGATCAGAGTAGACCCAATTAAGTCAATACGCATGATCATATTAGATCCACTAATTTCAATGGGTCTTCTCCAAGCAGAATGTAGTTGGATATATTGCTGGTGCTGAGGGGAGCACCAGACCAGAAGACTGCATCTGTCACCATCTTCATTCCTCTGGGCTGGAATGCAGAGTCACAAGCTGAAGCAATGTCAGGAGTCCAGAGGCACTGTGAGGGAATTAAGATAGTAGTGATGGTTTAGGCACAGGTCCCTTAAATGACTGAAGGTGTAAACAAATACATTTGAAGGAGAACAGTGGGCCTTGTGGGATGCGGGGATGCTGGGGCCACAGCATTGACCTGATGGTGCCACACACTGATACTGGACCTAGCAGAACACTAGACCATGCCAGGAACTTTACTACCAGCATTAGCCCTCTTTATTCCTCTGGGTCTATGTGTGTACAGAGAGACAGAAAGGGAGTTGAGTTTTGCTGGAGATAACAATGAGACCCTTTATTTCTCAATGCCATTCTGTCTTCTTTTTTTGGGTGTGTGTCAAACATAATGAGGCGAGAGGTAAGCTCCATTTCTTACCTTTCTGTCTACATTATGTTATGGGTTCCCCTCTCTGCATCATAACATATTTCTGCAGCTGTTTCTTCCTACCTAAGTCCCTTTATCCCTACTGAAATTCATTCTGTTAGTTTGGGCCCAGTTCTACAATCTTTTAAAGTCATCTTGAATCCTGATTTTGTCTTCAATGGCATTGTGGGTTAATGCTATTCTAGTATAGTGTCCTGATCAAGGGAAGTAATAGTTCTGCTCTATTCTGCCTTGGTCAGACCACACCTGGAGTCTGGGTCCAGTTCTGGGCACAACAATTTAAGAAGGATATTGACAAGCTGGAGCGTGTGCAAAGGGCAACCAAGATTATAAAGGGCCTAGAAACTAAGCCTTATGAGGAATGATTGAGGAAGTTGGGTATGTTTAGCCTGGGAAAGAGAAGACTGAGAGGAGATGTGATAGCCATCTTCAAATATCTTAAGGGCTATCACAAGGAGCAAGCTTGTTTCTCCCTGCTCTAGAGGGTAGGACCCGAACTAGTGGAATCAAGTTATAAGAAAGGAGATCAAGACTGAAGATCAAGAAGAACTTTCTCACAGTAAGAGCTATTGAATAGTGGAAGAGACTCCCTCTGGAGGTGGTGGACACCATCAATGGAGGTTTTTAAGCAGATGTTGGATGGCCATCTGTCATGTATGATCTAGTTGAGATTCCTGCATTGCAGGGGGTTGGACTAGATGACCCTTGGGCTCGCTTCCAACTCTACAATGCTATGATTCTTTGAGCCTACAGAGTTTCAGATGTTGTGGTTGATTTACTGTTGTGTTCCACCCTGTTGGGGTATAGGATTGCTATTTAAGGCTGCAATTTTCTGAGAATAAGCCCCATTTGGGTTACCTCTGAGTAGACATGTCTATATTTGCACTATCCAGTGAGATTGGGGGTTATTTGGTAATTTTGCTATTTTAGATTATTTTGATTTATGTGTTGTATTTAGTGTGTGTGTGTGTGTGTGTCCCACTGATATGCTGGTTGCCTCTTTGGGAGCCTTTGGGCCACAAAACAGGACAAAAGTAAATCATAATACTGTATGACATAATACTACTGTATTAGATTGCAATCCTAACTTCGCTTACTGGAGAGTAAACCCTATTGAATTTAATAGGATTTACTTCTCAGTAGACATAATTAGGATTGCAGTCTTAAAAACTAGGTTAGACACATCTTCAATGGGTAGCCACAAAAAGCCCTGCTTCTCACCTTCCATTAAAAATGGGAACGTATCCTACATATGTTTTATATTTTCCTCTTACTTATTAAGTAGTAAAAGGGATGTATTGCTCAACAGTTTTAAACTGTTAAAATGTTACTAGACTGAAAAGTTACAAAAAAGGTAGATAATAAAGAGGCATTAAATATAAATATAAAATATACAAAACCACTGACACATGGGGATGCGCTATTCTCTTATCTAAAAGGGTGTTATCCCAAGGAGAACAACAACTTAAAACTCTTGGTTTATCCCCTCTTAAATTTAAACTTTATTATATACATACTTTATGTTTGCATTACATAAAACTTTTAAAGTTAATATTTAAAGTACAAAAATAAGAAACTTTTAAAAAAATTCACTAGCATATATTTAAATACACATAACACACTTTTATCGGCTATTAACCCAATTCTAAATATGCTTACTTTTGTGAGGCTTTCCCCAATAAAGATAAATGTCCTGCAACGAGAAGTCTGAATTAAAACAAAGTGCTTGGAATCTAAAATTCAAAAGATTTGCTAAAGCCAAATCTGAGCGCACATAATGATATGAAACCCGTGTGTTAAAAGCAGTTTCCGTGCCATAACTTTAATCTCCATTCCAAGGGTTCCTGCCTTCTCTGGAAGGGCGAGCTCCGGGATGCTTCCAGCCAGGCACATCTCCTTCTCCCCTCCTTGCTGAAAGGTCTGAAAACTACATTTCCCACGATGCCACAGGAGAGAGCGGCGCGCGGCAAACTCAGTGTGCGCATGTCCGAATTCAGGAATCCCGCCCCTTAGGGCGGGAACCGCAGTTGTGGTTGGTTGCTGGGGCTGCCGCTTAGAGTGAGTTCGAGGGTCAGAGGGCGCGAAGGTGAGTGGTTGCTGTTGGGGACTCGTGGTGCTGAGGGATGGGGGTGGCCGGGGCCGTCCTGGGGGGCGGGGGTGTCGGGTGTCGCTAGATAGGGAGATACCTAAGGGGCGTGGAGCTGAGGGGCGTGTTGGATGGGGCTTTAAGGGCCCGCTTGGGCCCTACGGCCAGGGTTGGGGGAGCTGAGCAGGCGGCATTGGGCGGCAGAGCTCGGCCTGGAGCGACGGGCTGAGGGGAATCTCACCGAGTATTTGGATCAAGGGGCGCCGGTGCCCCTGTCAGCCCGGGCGGGACGCGCTTAGGAAACGGAGTTACCAAGATCGAGTGGGGGGATGGGCTGAGGTAGATGCAAGGGAGAACCCAGTAAGGCCTGGCTGGCAAAGGTGCATTGGGGGGTGCTGGGCCTGTGCTAGCCGGTGTGTGCTCGCGTGCCTTTGAGCATATAGAGGAATTTGCATAGGAGACTGCGAACACGGAGTAGCAATGCCGTGGTTTGCGGGGAGGGGGCTGGATGCCTTTGGTGCAGTATTTTTTCCCTGTGCCTAGGATCTTCTTGTAGTGTTGAGACACGAGGGTATATCAGATCTAGAGGGCAGATTGCATTGGGCCAGGGGTTGGAAGCAAGGGGATTTGGTTTAATTGGGTTATAGGTTGTTCCTAAAGGATCTAGCTCAGCCTTCCTCAACCTTGGGTCCCCAGATGTTGCTGGACTACAACTCCCTTGATCCCTGACCACTGGTCTTGCTGCCTAGGGATGATGGGAGTTGTAGTACCACAACATTTTGGGGACCCAAGGTTGAGAAAAGCTGGAGTTGGAAGAGTGAGGCAAGAGAGGTGTACCAGTGTAGAATTAAGACTTGGGTCAGAAGTGATGCTGCTATGTTTAGGTTATGTCAGGTATGGATGCATTGAGAATTGAGACCTGGTAGAAACCAAGCCATAATCTAAGGCAATAGACTGTAGTGACAGGAGGAATTGGGGTGATCGGTAGATTGGGGTTGTTAATTAAATTATTTCTTTTGAAATATTTAAGGGTTGTATTTGATACAGCTGCAGGTGTTCCATGGAATTCTAGAGTTGGAAAAAGCTAACCATTTAATCTATATTCACACACATGTATAAATTGCACCAGTAACTGAGGAGTAGAAGCATGGATAGGTGGTAAATATTAAAATATATGAAAGTGGGTATGTGGACTTTGGGGGAGTATACTTTTGGAGAAACACAAGGACAAGGAGCCTGCCACTGCACATTTAGGCTGCAATCTTAAACCATTTACCAGGAATTCAATCCCGTTGAATTGAGTGAGATGTCTTTCTGTGTAAAACATTGTTGGGAGGATCACTCTGTCAGTACTTGCCTTCACAGTGTACACTGTTTGCCACATTTCCATTTATAAGAATCTCACATAGAAATGCATGTACAGTGGTACCTCGGGTTACAGAGATGCTTCAGGTTACAGACGCTTCAGGTTACAGACTCCGCTAACCCAGAAATAGTACCTCGGGTTAAGAACTTTGCTTCAGCATGAGAACAGAAATCCATTAGCTATCTTGCTCTTGCTGCCGCCGCAGCGCGATTTCTGTTCTCATGTTGAAGCAAAGTTCTTAACCCGAGGTACCACTGTATTGATATATTGATGGAGAGGTGTGAGTTAGCATTCTTTCTAGCTTGCCATGATTCTTGAATTAGATTTCTCTGCTATACCATTGCCAGGCTTGTGTGATGTTGCCTCTAGTTCAGCGGCTTCCAGAGTTTGTTTCCACATTAATTTGTTTGCTGAAGAATATCTTTGTGTGTTGTAGAGTACAGTGGTACCTCGGGTTAAGAACTTAATTCGTTCTGGAGGTCCGTTCTTAACCTGAAACTGTTCTTAACCTGAAGCACCACTTTAGCTAATGAGGCCTCCCGCTGCTGCTGCTGCTGCTGCGTGATTTCTGTTCTCATCCTGAAGTGAAGTTCTTAACCCGAGGTACTATTTCTGGGTTAGCGGAGTCTGTAACCTGAAGTGTCGGTAACCTGAAGCGTCAGTAACCCGAGGTACCACTGTAGCTGGATTGTGTCTTTAGTCACACACTTTGTGTGTGGTGTTGGACAATCTAGTTGGGCCTTACAATCATTCTACACGAGCTAAGAACACACTCCAGAATGCGCCAACACTTAATAAACAGTTGTGGGTATACTGTGCTTGAGGGAAGCTTAGCTTTCATTATTGATTTTGTCATTGAGAATTTATGAAAAGTTTTGGGGATCGCTACAGCACAATTTGAAAGCTACACAGGTTAGTCTTGAGGATCTAGCAGAGACATGGTTAACTGAGTGTTGTACTTTATCTCCAATGGGATAGTGGGTGGCTAGGAGGAGGAGTTTTGTTATGGAGTTTCTGAAAATAGTTGCCTTGTGAGACATTTTTCTATTTTTGTAGTGTTACTTAAAACATTTTTTGTAGTCCTTTTTAATGCTCAGGACACTTGTATGTAAGTTTGGCATGTGAGATTTTGCTCATTATATTGTTTGAAAAATAATCAATGTGCCAAAAGTTGTTAAGTGAATGGCTCACTGAGGAGTGGTAAGAAAACCTGTGGTTTCAGATATGCTCCAAGCAGACCTGAAGCTAAGCTGATTTTTTAAAATAAAGTTTTTAACCTGATTCTTCAATTATAGGATGGGATATTTACTTACATATTGTATTGCTTTACAGTAGGTCAATTCTACATTTCCTGCATATAAAATGTTCAGTGAATTCTATCCTTTGACCATCATAATTCACTTATTCAAAAGATAGCTCACGGGTGCCAGTAGGGTTTTCTGTACCTAGTACACTGCATGTTATTTAGTCCCTCCACCTTACCGGCAAGAGGCCATCGATTTCCATAAAATTTGCGAGTTTATCATAGGCAAACCAGTGACCAATTTGCAGGTGGTACAGAGGGGCCAAATAAATTAGGGGCCACATACAAGTGCTAAGATGTCTAACTGACAGAATGCCATTAGTTGAGGCTTTCCCCACAACTGTATTTCCACACTAGAATTTCTGCCTACCACACAGCTGTTAAATGCACAGATGCCCTGCTATTCCTCTATACTAACTCTAAACCAGGGTAGTTAGCCATTTTGGCCCATAGCCATATGTAGGATTGTGCCATATAATGGAAGTTACTGGAATCTGGACTGTATAATTAGATGCAGAAACCTGTTTTAGTAAAAAGAAAATAAATGTGATCAGCTAGGAATATTCATATAGGTTTACCAAGCTGTTAGAATAACAATGTTGGACCTCTTCTCTAAACCCCCCCCCCCGACGCAACTGAATCCTGTTCCAATACCTCTTTTGGATGAAGGATTTCACATTTGGTTTTGTTCCTTACGAGAACATTTTAATGCCTAGCTTCATTTTGGCTCTATTAATTATGGTACACACATAGTTTCTTTGATGTAGGGAATCTTGTCTGCATCAAGAGACAAAATACAAATTGTGCACAGGGTTCCAGTATTTTGTGTTGGGGTAACATAAGGCCTGCAGGTGAAATTTGGCTCACCGGTCCTCCCCATTTGGCCTATGAGACTGTTTAGTGCAAGCCATATTTACATTTATATTACTTATTTTTATTTTATTTATGTATTTATTTATTTATGTATTTGTTTAGTATACCTTAGATATCAGGGCAGTTTCACAATGTAAAAATATAAGATAAAAAAACACAAAATACATAATAAAACGAGAACAACTTCCTCCCCCCAAACCAGTAGCCTCCCAACACATTTAAAAGGCCGTGAATATTAATCAGCCCAAAGCCTGGTTGAAGAGGAATATTTTTGCCTGACACCTAAAGGTGTATAATGAAGGTGTCTGCCAAACCTCTCTGGGGAGAGCATTCCACCAGCAAGGCAGCCACTGCAGAAAAGGCTTGTTCTCGTGTTGTCACCCTCCAGACCTCTTATGGAGGAGGCATACGGAGAAGGGCCTTGGATGATGATTGCAGTGTCTGGGTAGGTTTCATATGGGATAGAGGGCAGTCCTAGTAGCGTACATGACTAACAGGTATGCTGATTGTCCTTGAGCTGTGAGCTTGGTTGCTAGGGGCAAGGAAGCATTGCAGAACTTAACTGGGTTCACATCCAAATGTGGATTTGAAAAAGGTTCCGCACTCCTGCCCAACTACCTACATGTTTAGTAGTTGACAATCTCCAATTGAATTTCAGGAGCCAAAGGTCAATTGAAAATAGAACTTTGAACGCCTGCCGAAAATGGCAATAGACATTCCATTTTGGTGACTGTAACCTTTTAAGGAGCCTTGGCACCTAGCTTATAATTTTAAACTGTTCACATCTCATTAGAATACAGTAGATAGCTTGGTTGCTAAGCATAGACTAATTCTTGACTCGTGGGTTGAGAAAGGTTCCTACTCTGCACTAACCTATGTTTAGTGTGACATCATGAGCCTGTACTTCTCCTGGTTCCTGCTCTCTTCTCTTTTAATACCATGCCAAACACACAATGGAAGTTAATCTTAATTGTGGCTCGTTTCAAGAAACAGCTTCAGGAAATTTGGTTTGAAGTTAGCTTCTCTGAAACTAGCCATAGTTAAGAATGACCACAATTTGTTGGGTACAAATGTCATGATAAGCTATGGTTATTCAAAAATAGAAGTGAAAGCTTTTGAAGTTCTCCCAGAACGTCCTGTACATGTGGGAAGGAGGCAATGTGCAAAACTGAGAGGAGGCTAGGCTTGTTCATGTCTCACTAAACCAGTTCAACTGCATTCAGTCATCATACTAATGAGTACATTTTTCAAATACACTCAAGATGTGTTTAAGTATAAACTGGACTTTATGGGTTCAGAATACTATTGGCATCTGCCTGTCCTGAAAGACAGTGGAGTGCACCTTTGGGAGTGAAGTCAAACCTCTGGGTTAGCAGCACTGAAGTGACCTCTCTGGGGCACAAGCCTGGGCAGTGTGTATGGAGGTCCTGGGCTGCCCAGACAACAAAACCCCCCTCT